CAACAGGACTGTGCACCAGTGCACAAGGTCCATAAGGACATGGATGAGCATAGACAAGTCACCAGTATTCCCTGTAGGATTCCTGCAGCTGATACTTTGCTGACCATGCCTTGTTCTGTACTGTGTCTCAATGTGGAGGTGGCAATTCTGGTCGAGTAGCTGGGCTTTACTTTCATATGTCAGAGCTGTTCGCTTCCCTGAAGCCAGGTTCACACCTGGGCAATCCGTAACCCGCATGGCAATCATGCACAATACCACGCGGATTATTTTCTAATGGCACCCCAGTCGCGCCGGGCGGATTCCGCCTGTGCAACCGAACACGATTGCGGCTAAAACGGCAGTGCGTTGTGTATTGCAAAAAAAGGTACCTTTTTTTTCTGTGATGTACCCCATTGAAATCAATGGGGCCGTGCGGCAATTGTTGTCTGCTATTGTGCACGACCTTGCGTCCTGAGTGGCTCAGGTCTGCACTGGCCCTAATTACTGGTGATCTGATGACTGGTAGGGAATGATCAAGAAACAGCAGGAGAGATCAGAAGGCACAGATTCATAGAATGAAAAAAGCAAAAGCAGGAAGATCCTTGCACTACAGGTCATCAGGTACAGATTCCTCTCCAGCAAGGAGAAGAGTGAGCTGCACACTAATGACATCCCCAAATCTTTTGAGGCTAGCAGTCAGAGGCAGCAGGGCTTTAGATGATCTCATGCTGAAGATGTAGGGCTATGGAACTGTCACAGATCAGCAAGTGCACTGCTATTTTTCAGGAGGAATTTAATGCAAAAAGTAGACATTTCAGGTCACTGCTTGGGCACAACATTCTATATATTCTATATAAGATGGCCAATATTCAAATTTGAGTTCAGGGCCACTTTGACTACTGATCACACACCCATCGTGACAGTTGAATTAATATTCTTATCTTCTGTTCTTATTGACAGCTTTGATTATGTTCTTCAGTCCTAACTAGAGTGAGCATGAAGCATGCTGTGTTAAAAGGCTTTCATAAAATGAAGTGGATGATTCTGTCTTAAGGCCTTTTAACACACAAGCAACAAACCACGGTTCAAGAGCCGACCCTCACTCTAAATCTCGCTGAGGAGCTTTCCTGTGTTATTGGACATCCATTAACTGGATTGCAGTCCCTGCCGCTTCAAATGAAATCGAGCTCTGTCTGGCTTGTCTGAAGCTAGAGATTGCGAGGTGATTTGTAGCTGTGCTTTGGTCTGCACTATCAAAGGCCATTGCAAGATCAATGGAGTATTTTCTAAAGGAACACACATTAAAAAAAAAAGTATATATTTATCGGTTTTAACGGGAGCTTCGGCTAGTGCTCAAACAGAAATGCTTTACCTTAGAAGTCTTCTCTGTGAGATATTTGATGCTTTTAACCTTTTTCTTTGTCTTCAATTGTGTAACAGTTGCATCTTTTAATGGTGTCTGTGAACTGCCATTTTTATTTTGTACGCAGTACATTTTCAAATATTCTTATTCCAAGTTTTTCAGCGACTTGTCTTGTGAGTGGTACGAACTTCATATAATGGAAGCATTAGTAAACGTAAAAATATATGGTTACTATGAGTAAACATGTCAGTCACTTTAAAAAACATAAAATAAAAAGTAGGGATGCACCGATACTTTTCAGATATCAGTGCAGATACTTGACATTTTCATGAGAACTACCAGGGTTGTAGCGGTTGCAGCTGGGACCTAGCTCTGGCGCTCCACCACTGTCCTGAAATCTTTTTTTTTTTTGAGCATGTAATTTTTATTGTACTTTTCAATGAACACATAACAAGGGCATTCAAAGTAAATAAGAGCATACAGTATCATAGTAGTGAAGGTACATACACAGTAAGCATTGAGTATTCGGCTTTGTAGATAAATTCAGGGCATTTAAGAATATACGAGTCAGTGTGACAAGTTTACATCTCTTTCCGTGCACGTACCTATAGTATTAAGCTTAGGATTCAAGTCAACTGCACAATAACAGAACAAAACATAAAGAAAACTAGTATCACTACATGGATTACGAGGAATCATGGCATGTAATATCGCTAATACCTGCCTTAGCAGATGTTCCGTATATTCGGAGTATACCAATTTCATGTGGGACAAATCTAATGTCAAGGGTTGTCTTGTAGGTATGTATGCAAAGAAATCCGAAAATTGAGCATGTGTTGATGAGGGCATCATGGGTACATGTTACACTAATGTTAACCCAGGATCCCCTCTAGGAGTGCCTAGAGCACATCCAAAGCCCCCAAGGTGTTTGAGAGTTTGGCATTGAGGTACCACGTGGATGTTTGGAAGCCTGACATGATATCACAAAGCTGGTCGGGGGGTAGTGTCTCAGCGAGGAAGGGGGACCATGTGGAGAAGAAACGATCTATGCGTCTCTCCTCATTATGTGTGTCAGCCTTGTCAAGGAGCATAAGCTTACGGAGGGTGGTTTGCAATTCCTCTATCGTGGGGGCTGTTGGTAGGAGCCACTTAGTGAGAGTGATTTTTTTTAGAGGCCAGTATGCAAAGATGTTCCCATCTCGAGATGGGGGGGGGGGGGGGG